ATGATGTTGTTTATTGGTCCATACATACATGCATATATACATATATACATACATACATATATATGTATCTATTCATATTATACATATAAGAGTATGTGTGTGTGTATATATATATACATACACAAACACACACACACACACACATATATATATATAATACATATAAACCTGACAGAAGGTCAGCTATGGGTCAGTTCTCTGGCAGGTTTTCATAGTTATTTAATCAGACAGGAGGAGATTGCCCATCCTTCTTCTGCAGAACAGCTGGTGGCCTCTAACTCCTTGCCTTCAGAATTGCATGAAGCACAATTTCTTTTTATATATATTTCATATATATGTGAAATAGTGTGATGAGTGAATGGGATATATTCAGTTATAATTTTATGGAATTAAATAATTGTATATTAGTGGTAATGTAAAGCTTTAACCATGAAATAGTCATATGCTGAAAGTGTCCTTGTAATGTGGTCTTGCTGAAAAAATATAACTTAGTGTCACGTACTGTATTTATTTGAAAAGCAGCTGTAAAGATAGAAGTAGTAAGAATCTTTGCTCTCATCCTTTTTTTTCTTTGTTTTGATACTAGGCAAAAGGTGGTGGAACACGGCATGAGATGAAGGAGTTCAGATTGCCAAAAGGCCATCACTTTAATATGAATATTACAGACATTCCCAAAGGCAAAATTTCAGTTGTAGAAGCATTGACACTTCTCAATAATTATAAACTTGATCCAGATACATGGACTGCTGAGAAAATAGCTCAAGAATACCATCTTGAACTCAAGGACGTAAATTCTCTGCTTAGATACTTCATTACTTTTGAAGTCAAAATCTTTCCCCCTGAAACCAAGAAAGCCTTATTATCAAAATGAAGAAAATAATGAAATTACTTTTCTTATGTGTATTCTCCATATCCTTGTTGTATTTGTTTCTACATTTTTAGCATTTTAATTTATATAAATGTCTGAATGTTTAAAGCTCTCTCTTTATTCTAGGACACTGCTGATTTAAGATGGAGCTCTGTTTAAGATTACTGGATGCTTTTTCATTTTTATTTGGTTTAGGCATATGATTGTATGTATATGTCTGCATGACTAAACGGGGTTGTTGTTTTTTTTTTTTTGTCCTTGGATCAACTTTTAAATTGCTAATGTGATTTAAGCAATATTCGGCATCCTTCTAACATTCAGAATTTTGCTTTTCAATTTAGATGGTTAATGAAAGTAAGAAATTTTCTAACTTTTAAGACCTTTATTGCTAGAGAAAGGTAAACGTAACAGAAAAAGAGTTTTTCTAAGTAAAGAAAGATTACATAAAAATCTAGAAAATCCTTTTTTTAACTGCATAATAAATCCATTGTGGTAGAGTCAGAACTGACTCAGTGTTTTCAGAGGCTGCCAATCACATGGGAGGAGACTGCCCATCTCTTATCCTCACAGCATGTAGAGGATTCCAACCTTTGGATTTGCAGCACAACTCCTTCCATCTAGACCATCAGATCTCCCTATAATAACACCCAAAGAACAGTACACATTTTTAATTGGTTTTTAGAAAATAATATTAAAGGTGGTTATTCCATATTTAAAGTCAATCTAAAATGAAACAATCCATAGCTACTTTTTGTTGCTGCTGTTGTGTCATTGAGTCAAGGACAACTCATAACAAGCCTGTTCTATAACTATTGCCATTTCTCTAATGTTCACAAGGTTTTCAAAGGCTTGTTATTTAAGAAATGGATGCCAATCCTGCTTCCAAGTCTGTCTTAATCTGGGAGTTCTACCAAACCCTGTCTACCCAGGCTAACCCTTATAGCATTTGACACACCAGTGACAGTGTTCAGTAGCAAAGCAACCCCAAGTTATCTAAATATAGCAAACTGACAGACTTGTTGTTGCTATTGATTGCTGTAGAGTTGAACATGACTAATAGCGACCATATGAACAAAAGGCCTGAAGCTTTTCTATATCATTTATCAAAGTTCTAAAGGCACTATCAAAACAGAAGCATCTCTTAGTTGCTCCTCCATTATTCTACAGTAGGTTTTCATAAACTTTTAGAAATGGATTTTTTTTTTAATTGAGGGTTTCCTTTGTCTTAGGTTGGCTTTAACTATGAAATAACTATCTTTAAAATTAATTTTTTGAAAAAACAATAAAAATATATGTATTGTACCCTGGGTGGTAAACAGTTAGTTCATGGTAGACTAAATGGAAGATTGGCAGTTTGACTCCACCCAGGAGTGCCATGGAGGAAAGGCTTGACAATCTACTTTCTAGATGATAATGTTATTGTTGTTATTGATTGCCTTCAAGTCAAGCTCTACTCACAGCAGCCCTATGAACAAATGGCCTGAAGCCCCTCTACAACCATCATTTATCAAAGTTCATAGAATTTCCGGAGGAATGTTGTTCCGGAGGAATGTTGTTTAGGAAGCGGATGCCACTCCTGCTTCCAAACCTGTCATAGAATGTGTTGGTTGAGTTGCCTGTGATGCATAGCATGGTTCCCTAGCAAACAGTAGATGTCTGAGTTGGAATCGACAGCAATGGGAAATATTTTCAACATACTTTGGACATGTTGCAAGGAGGGACAGTTCCTTGGAGAGGGACATCATGCTTGGTAGGGTGGAGGGACAGCGTAGAAAGGGAAGGCCCCCTATGAGGTGGATTGATTCAGTGACTTGGGTAATTGGGATGGGTGTATCGGAGACGGTGCGATTGGCAGGGTATAGGGATGTTGTACATAGGGTCGCTATGAGTCGCAAGCGACTCGGTGGCACATAACAACAACAACAAAATTAGTCCTGGTAATATAATGGTTAATCTTTCAGTTGTTAATGAGAAGATTGGAAGTCCAAACCCACTTGCCTCTCTGAAAGAATGTGGCTGTCTGCTTCCATTTAGATCACAGCCTTCGAAACGCTATAGTATGGGGCAGTTCTACTTCGTCTTGTGGGGTCAACTCTATGACAGTGGATTTAGGTATTATTTTGGGCTTTGACCAAACTAGCTTCAACCTTTGTTCTAGTCTGCTGCGTTACATGTGAGATGGGGACAAGAACAAGGGAAGACAAAGATGTCCAGCTTGAATGAAGTAATTCCTCAGATCTGGGAGCTGGAGGAGAGGCTGTAGAAGAGTTCAAGAAGATGAACCAGCAAGGGCCACCTGGCTTGACCTCTTTGAGATGTCTGAGCAGCCAGGCTATCACTTGAGGACTTTTGTTAAAAAGCAGAATCTGTATGGTGGGGGCAGGCTAGCTCCAGTCATCCATGCAGGATGTAATCAAGGCCTTGTACCTGGCCATGCAGCTGAAAGCAGACCAGAAATCAGAGAGGCAAGAAGTAATGACCAGTGATGAATGCAAATAAAGACAGAATTTTTAAAAAGCTATCCCACTGCTTGAAATATACCCTGAGAAAATGAGAACTGAGGCATAAACGGAGACTTGTACACCAGTGTTCATAGCAGTATTATTCACAATCGCAAGAACATGGAAGCAGCCCCAATGTCCAACCATAATGGAATGGATTGAGAAATTATAGTACATTCAACAATGGAATACTACGCAGCACACAGGAACAATGATTTTGTAAATCACTAACTAACTTGAGAGAGACTGGAAAGTATTCTGCTAAGTGAAACTAACTCAGTCCCAAAGAACAAATATTGTTTAAGACCATTATTACAGAATGAGCATGGGATCTGGGGGTGGGGGGTATTAATCTTAGGGTTGCACAATTTGATGGGTGGAGGGATGGGTAAAGGAAATGAGAGGGATCTGGTGTGAAAACTGTGTAAAACTAAGTAAACCAGTAGAAAATAAATATTTTCAGTAGGTTTTTTTTTAAAAAACTAAAAAAACGAAAAGAAATAGTATAGTGGAGAAGGGACAAGAACTTTGAGAGAAGCTGTCACAGTCATGGGGTTTTTCTGAAAAATTAACTTGTTCATTTCTATCTAGGTTTAATGTAAAAAACCCCACAAATTCATTGCTGTCCAGTCTGAACCAACTCATAGCTAGTCCTCCAGTGGGTTTCTGAGACTGTAAATGGAACAGAGGAGATTTTTCATCTTTCTTGAGAGCTTTTGCTAGTTTTGAACCTCCAGAGAGGCGTAGTCTTTGGGATATCAATACAATTCCCTATGGAATAGGGCACCAGATCCAAAAAGTTTTAAATAATGATAAGCCATGGTAAGTGAGATTTGATGATTTAAAGATTAGAAATTTTGAAAAGCTAACTGGGGGAAAGGGAAAAGCCAAAGCATAAAATGATTTTGGGGAGGGACCTGGGAATTTGCTGATCTACCCGTTTAACAAACTCACATGAGCACAACATATACCAGTAGTAGTATCTTGAGCACAGTGTGTCTGAGTTCAGCTATGCTGAATACTTTCTGTGGAGTTGTGAGTGGATCACATAACCTCTTAAAAGGAGATTACATTTCCTTTAAGGCAAGTATTATGTCTTTGGTCTAAAGGGGTCTTACTGTCATCAAGTCATAGCTGATCCTCCAGTGGGTTTTCAGAGATTTTAAATTGTGTCAGAAGAGATTGCCCATTTTTCTATCAAGGAGTTGGTGGATTAGAAACTGCAGAGTCTTGACCTTTGTGTTAGCACAATTCCCTACGGACTTCACCACCAAGGCAAAAATAAGAAACAGATTCTTGTAGTCAAGGCATGCCTAAGAAGGATACTTGACCTATGTAATAAATTTAGATTGTTATTAATCCGTGGCATAACCAGGTCCAGAATCTATTTTCAAGGTCCTCAAACTTACTATCTTCCAGTTGGTTCCAACACGTAGGGACCTTCTAACAGGTTTTTTGAGACTGTAAAATCTTGACTGGAGCAGACTCCTTTCTTCCGCAAAGCTGCTGCTGATTCAAATTGCTGCAGCCTCTTGGCTCTTGAATTAGGAGCATAACTTGATACAAACTAAGTCACCAGAGTGGGGTGTTTTTTCTGTCTCAAGAGAAAAAGTCCCAGGAGTGCAGGTGTGAGTTGTGGGAATATTAAGGAATATAGTAAAATTTCAGGATGTCAGTGTCTTTCTCAGGGAAGAAATCCTAGCCTTTATACCTATAAATATAGGTATATTTATGTAATATACGTATAAATATAGGTATATTAAAATATACCTTTATATTTTCTTTATGTTAATAAGGCCATATTGGTATAAAATATGTTTAAGCCAATAAGTTACTTGAAATATAGAAGGGACAGATGAAACAGAAGCAAGCGTGCTCCAATGGAGGAAAGCTAGATGCCACATGAAGATTGCAAAAGGATGTGGAGGAGAACATTTGAGAAGCTGTGACAAGGATTTCCCCATTGAGCCTGCAGAAAATTTTCCTCTAAGGTTGAGTATCCTAACTCAACCTCTGGGTTCCTAAACTGTGAGAAAATAAATACCTGTTAAAGCTGGCTAATTATTTCTCTGTTAATAGCGGGACTATAAAGGGTGTTTTCAAATTCATTTTAATTATGTGAATAATTCACATCTTGTTTATATTTAATTCAATACAATAATTCTTTTTGAAAGCAATAAACAATGTCAAATACCATTTTTTAAAACTCATTAGTCATTTAACTCATTTAGTCATCAGTCGTTAAAACATATGTGAACTGCTAGTTCTGCAGTTTCTGAGGTATCTGTTCAAATCTATGTGTGTAGTTGGTTGGTCGTTATCTACTATAGAACTGGTTCTTGTCTTGCCAACCCGGAGCACAGTGGAGTGAAGCACTGTCCTGTTCTGAGCCATCTCCGTGACGGGACACAGATTGGACCATGATGCTCCAGAGTTTTCATTGAGTTTCAATCACTGATTATCAGCCATTTCTTCCGCCTTACCTGGAAGTTTCTTACTGAA